CCAAAATGCATGATCTTAGCTGTTAATATTTGCAGTAGTGGTGCTTTCTTTATTGGGTCAGTTGTAACCTGAGGCCTTCTTTTGTAACCTGTAGGAATCATTAAATGCAAACCAGTCTCCTCAGGGGGAAAACCCAGAGAGAGATGGATCAAACTGAAAGATAAAATAAACCAGTCAACAAAAAGCTCTTTATTATAATGGCTGGCAGCAGTCAGCGTAGTTCAAACTGCATGAATGAGTCCAGAATAGATTTTATCACAAGGATCTTTTTACTGTTAAACTTGAGTAAGAAACAAGAAGCTGTGATAAGAAACGATGTACAGACTCTTCCTCATTTTTCTCCCACTGCTGAAGAAGTTGTTTAGTGTCAGACAAAGACCGCCCTGTCAGCTCATGCTGCAAGACTTGTTTATATATCAGGATGCAGTGAAAAAATCGATTATCTGTTGAGTCTACAGGTGTTTTTGGTTCAGCTCAGGTTCATTTCTGGAAACCGGACTAGAGAGAGTCTTCAGCCAGAGATTAGAATCAGATGGAAGGACGAGACAGAACCAGCCGGGGAGTTCATGTTATCTCAGACTGCAGGCTGGAGGCACGTTCATGTGACATAGAGTCTGTGGAGAGAGATTACAAGATAAGAGCTGCAAACAGGTGGAGGTTGGTAGTTTGAATCCATGCTGACTGTTTAAGCAGCACAGTTTTCAATTCAGTTTATTTCTATGGTGCCATTTCACAACACATGTTATCTCAAGGCACTTTCCAGTTCACCAGATCATCCAGTCAGATTGATTCAAAGTTTTCTATTTAAGGAAAACCAGCTGATTGCATCGACTCATTGACTCTTCAGCAATCCCTCACACTAAGCATGCTTGTAGCGACAGTGGAGAGGAAAAACTCCCTTTGAACAGGAGGAAACCTCCAGCAGAACCAGGCTCAGTGTGAGCGGCCATCTGCTGAGGCCCACTGGGGTTCAAGGAGACAGAAGCAGACATAGAAAAAGAAGCATAGATACAAAAGGCAACTGTCAACCAGCTCCACAGGCGGCCCCATCCAGGAAGCACACAGCCAGGCAGACGAGCTCCGAGCCAGCTCCCATGTCAGAGGATGAAGAGAGCACATAGTCACAGTCAGAGAAACAGGACTACACTGAAAAACAGGCCAAGCTCCAACATCTAGAAACAAAGGTGTTGATGGCAGCAGCACAGCTGATATTTCTCTCCAGGATGGAGTCACAGCCAAACAGGAACAGACCAGATGAAGCTACTATGAGAAAAAGCAGAGAGAGCAGATTGAACTAACAGATTCTGCATAGTGGGAGAATAGAGATAGAATGATGAAAAAGGGGTCCCTATGTCCTCCAGCAGTCTAAGACTATAGCAGCATAACTATAGAGGTAGTTCAGGAAGCAGTAGCCTACAAGACTACAAGCAGTAGCCACAACCAGAGGGTGAATAGGGCAATGGAAACAAAGTTTACATCCGAGTTAGATTATTTAAATGTTTAATGTTTGCATCGCATTTAAAGTTCCAGAGCATAAATAAAAGAATGAGAACAGAAAGTCATCTTTTGGCTCCTGCCACCTTCGATGAGAGATCAATTGTTCGGAGGCCTTTAAAGGACTCATTCCACTCACTTCACACAGTGGTCCGAACTCCCTTAGGTCAGGACTCCAAGGCGCCATTAGAACCACATCATCTGCAGAGAGCAACACGGACCAAGAGGTTCCTAAACAAGAACCCCAAGCAGGCGGAGTCCAACCATCCGTGGGATCGAAGTGGACCTACAGCTCCTGTTCTGGTAACTGACTGCAAAGATGTTTCAAAGGCAGGGGAGCTGAAGATCTGGAGTTTGAAATGTTATGGTTGGAAGAAAACTTATTTAAACTAAAGAAAATTCTCTGTTTTTGCTAATCAGGTAAAACCGCCAACCTCTTCCACTGAGCCTGCTCCTCTGCACCTGATCCTGTCTGGACCTGTGGATGCCTGGAAGTCTGGATCCTGCCTCCTGTTTCTGTTCCTGCCTGGTCTGGATACCTGACCAGGTTCGGCTTCCAGCATGTCCTCTGGGACTGCAGCACTTGGGGACATTCTTGGACTGGACTGTTAAACCAGAGTTCTGTGATTGGGCGGTGCCCCGCTCCCCATCCTGCAGTGTCCGAGAGCCACAGCTCCACTTTAGTTTTTAATTTAATTTTGAATACTGGGTCCATCTGTCCTCGGTTCATGACATGGTCAGAAAGATCTGAAAGAGCACAGTTACATGATCTAACCTTTGAACGGACAGCAGCACCATGTCATTCATTAATGAGGGGAAACGCTCCTCAGGGATGGTTAGCAGAGCAGAAACAAGCCCATCCTCGATGGCTGATCTTAAAAAATTATCCTTCCCTAACCTACAGCTCGTAAACAAACAGAAATAGACTAAATCTCAGTGAGATCACCGTTGTCCCTCAGAGACCACAGGAGGTTCTCTATTGTTCCAGAAGTTGCTCCATAATGAAAGAATTTCTAAGAATCCGACTCGTTTCTTCTCAGCTGGCTGCACATTCCTGTAAATGGAGCCACTGAGGCAGGATAATGTCCACAGAGTTAGCAGTTCAGAGCAGGAAGGCTCTCTGAACAGAAGCTCATTAAACACCTCAGGGTGGAGACGTGAAGCTCTGCTGGGCCACATATGTTCTTATTAACATAACAGGAACCCTTGGATTCTGGCCGAGCTCCTGCTTTGGTTGTAAAACTGCATTTTGATCCAAAAGGGCCTCCCTCAATGATTGGGCAGACGGAGGGTTTGACCTACAATCGCTTTCCAGGATCCGAGACCCTGAGACCACAAGGGGGCAGAATATGCAACACAACAAGCAGGAACCCCAATATTTACCATCATCAGCTGAGAATAAGTCCAGATAATGAATCAATGTCCAACATTTAGTCTCCTTTCAGCAGATCGACTGCGATTTGATCCACAGGGGAGGAAACATGCTGCAAAGGAGCAGAGGCAGAGAATTACTGCCAGGCTGTAAAAAAACATTAAAGACCTGAAGATCTTCCTGAGGAGATCGTTGTGTAAAGCTCTAGTCTGCAAGCTCTTCCACAGAACAGCAGGACGGAAAAAAACATACTTTCATCAAGGTCACAGATTTCCCTCTAATTAATGATTGCAGCTCAATCAGAGGATTCCTTTAAAATGATTCAACATGAAGAAAGATTAAACCATCAACAAGTATCCTTTTTATCCATTTATTTATAAACGTTTTTAACTTTCATTTGAGCCAAAAGAGCAAAAAATAAAAAATAAAGTTTGCAGGAACAGATTTCTTTCTGTTTTCAGTTTTTTTCCCCAATTTGCAAACAGTCAGAAGTGTAGTTTTCCAGATTTTTGCAAAATATTTCACCAGTGATGCCCTCAACGTGTCGTCAAACACACACTAAGACAAAACGCTTCTTCCTCTGTCAGTTGGTAACATCCTGAGGTTTCGTAATGACCGCTGGGTCACAATAAACACAGCGTGGAAAGTTTCCACAATATCCTACATGAAGCAAGAAAAGGTATTTTTAGAAAATGTTTTTAGGCCAAATAATTGTTTTCATATTCTCTGAAACACATGTAAATATTTATAGTTTAATCTGTTTGTGTCTGAATCAGAGGCAAAGATTGACTCAGTCAGTTTCCTTCCTATTTGATCCTCATTTTTAATCTTTTGTTTAAATCTTTCTGTATAAATGCAAACAATGAGCTGTCAGTCGGGGTTGCTGCTGCTGCTACTTTTAGACACAGCAGGCAAACCTGTGGCAAGCCGGGCGATGGGAAAGAAGGAGAAGACCATGAGAAAAAGAGAGCAGAGAAAGTGTGGACTGCTGGAAGAACTGCGGTGAACTGGTGAAAGAAAAGTGAAATGGCGTGCTCAAAGATGACCCTGCACATTTAGAGGATGTTTGGCTCAACCTGCTGCTGTGAAACAGGATTCTCCTAGCCTCGTGAGACCATCCTGATCTCGCGATCTTTCAAGGTTTCACTCGCAGATCAGTCTGGAGACTCTCCGTTAAAGAAAATTTGGAGCCGTTCACCAAACGAACGTCCAGTCAGCGTTGGCTTTGAGGCGGGTTGAGGTGTGACGCAACGAGAAGCGCGACAGTTCAGTCTAAAGAACATGGCGGCTTCAGCCGATGAAACTAGCGTTAGCGTGGCTATCCAGCAAGTTTTATCGGAATTACAGAGTATTTCTTCCCTGAAAAAAGAGCAAAACACTGCTCTGGAGGCTATTCTCAGAGGAAAAGATGTTTTTGGTCTTCTCCCGACTGGTTTCGGCAAGAGTAACCTGGCTTGTGGTTGTGTTTTCGTCGTCGCTCTGTTAGTACGTCATATGCTTCGTTGATCTGATTGGTTTATTTGGCCCGTCTATCACCAACATAGGCCAATCAGCTAACCAGTATTTTCGCCCCTTCCCAAAATTACTTCAACGGAAGGTTTCCAGATGGATATGCGGAGCAAATCCATCTGGTGGAGTCAGGTTAAAAAAAAAACACTTTAGATTTTAAAATGGAAAAAAAATATATATTTTCTTATTTAAAAAGTCAATGAATAACATGTAGGCATAAACTCCTGCATTTTACTTCATAGTTAAATTCAGTTTAAAGTAACAAACAGATTATAATTAGATGGTTGTTGATTTTTTTTACTGGGACCCTGCTGGTTTTTAATTGGTTTCCATGGTTTACAGTCAGCTGCGTGTCTGAATGACACTTTAGGAATATTTAGAGCAAACTAAATGGTTTATAGTGTAAATCTTTACACTGTAAAGCAGTTTCAGGTCTAAGTGAATTCCTTTCCTACATTTCTGCGCTGATTGGATCAGCCAGGCCCTGGTGACTCACAGCTGCTGACTTTCAAACTTTTATGCTAATTTTTTTTTTCGGTTTTTTCTCGGCTGAGCAATAGGCTGACATCAGAGGGCGTTTCCTAAGAGCAGATCATCCTGAGCGCTTTATAAGCAGCAGCCTGGCAGCTTCCAGCCACATCTAAGCTCACTGAGAGAGAAAAGCAGAAACCAAGCGACAGAAAACAGACAGATGTACTCACGGTCAAACAGCACGACTATGACTGTTCAGCAGGAGAGATTCGCCTTTAGCTCCGGGATGTCCGCCCGCAGCACCCAGCCAGAGGTCTTCACCTTTGAGCGGATTCCGCCTCAGGCCACCGCCGTGCGCTCCTACGTGCCGGTCCGGCCCAAGAAGCGCTGCATCCGGGTCATGTACCCCGCCAAGGTCCGCATGCACCTCCCGCCGCCCGAGAGGAGCCAAGCCAAGCGCTGGCTGGTCTTCCTGTGCCTGGTGGTCCTTTGGCAGATCTACACCGAGGAGCCGTGCGTGGAGGCGCCGCTGAGCGCAGACTGCTCCATCGCTGAGTACCGGGGCTTCAGCTTCCAGTCCGCAGAGAGCCAGGCCCGCCACATGTCGGAGCTCAGCTCCAAGCCGAGCGGCTGTGAGAACAGCGGTGCCTCCAGCAGCGATCAGATCATCAGCAGCCATCCCTGCATCTCCGCGGCGCAGCAGAGCGAATCCAGCGGCTTCGAGCAGAGCGCAGGACAGAGCATGGTGGCCCTGCTGGTTTACCACCGACTGGGGAACGACAACTAAGTCCGACCGGACCGGGTCCACCCTGCAACGCCCAAATATGGGCTTTAAAAAACACTGAGCCGAGCTGGAGGAGATTCTAAGAACCTCTGGAGGGGAACGGCGCGCCCCGCGCGGCGTGGCCGGAGAGGAGACTCCACGCGCGGCTTCACCAGCCAGCAGACTCCCCTGATCACTGGGGGGGATGAACTGTCTGGGAAAGAGAGAGAAATCTGGGAGAATGACAGAACTGTGAACACTAAGAAAAAAACAGAAACTTGAGATCCAGAAAACTTGAAGTGAATGAGTGAAAATCTGCACAAAGACTCTGACTTTGCACTGTGAGCCTGCGGGCTGAGATCAGATGTTTGTTATGTTCTGTGTCTCTGATGTAGGCTGACATGCCTGAACCTGACACTGTGTTATTCATATTTTCTATACATGTCTTATTTTGTTATTTATTTTATTTGCTATTTATTATTTTGTAATAAAACCCCTTCAAATGAATTTCCAGTTTCCTGCCTCTTTCCTAAAGGTTTTGCTTATTAAGATCGACTCTTAATATTTGCATCTTTAAAATTACTTAAGATTGACATTCAATCAGCTTCAACATTTAAAGCAACAATAATGACTGCAAAGATTAACTTTAAAGGTTTTATTTTCTGTAGTTCCTAAACAAACTTAATATTTTCCAAGAAACAAAAAAATGTTAATTGGCTGCATCTCTCTCATCAGTATCAGATGTTCTCAGAGGTATAGGAGCCTCCTAACATTCTTCACTTCAGCAAGAGTATTGATACCTGTTCTATAAAAGACAGATAAAGGTAAAAGTAGAGACTGAAAGAAAAAAGGAAAGTAAAAATAAAAAAAAATGCCTTGATTGACTTTATTGATCTCACTGTGGAGAAATGTACTCCTTACATCAGCTCAAATAGTCATTAAATTATAGAAAATAGCTTTTAAAACCTACTTAAACATCATATTCCCAAAAAATAGATTATAATTTTTGCTTGCTCTAGATTTGTTTTAAATCCAACCAGGATGATATAGATGGAAGTGAACAGATCTCAGCATCTGCAGCTGAATCCTCTCCTAACTGGATGGTTCTTCATTCCCCCTGTTCTGTTATAAATGTTTTATCTGGTCGTTATCTAAATGTATAGAAACAACAAGCCAGTCTGGAGGAGTAGAAAGATCAAATATTTGTGTTCAAATGTAGGAAGTAAAAATAAAAAGTCCTAAAACAATAAATAATCGAGTAAAAGTACAGATAACAAAAAACAGCTACGTATTTATAGTTATTTAACCTGACAAGTGGTGGTTTTAGACCAAATGTGTTTTCATGGGGGAACAGAAAAGTGTGAAATAAAAACAGGGCAAGAGAATAAAATATATTTATAAAGCTGCACGAAGACATTTCTATTAAATTAGATTTATTCAAAATTCTATGTCTTATTAGGTCGAAATACATTCATAATTTAGGAATTTTACATATTTTTGACTTCATTTAAGTTAAGATTACTGTTTTCTATAAAACTCAAGAAAAACAGATAAATTCTGCTGTAAAAATTAGAGGTTTTTTTTTATTTGTTTAAAAAAATAATATTTAACAGATGAAAACTGGGTTCCTATCGCAATACCACTGAAGCTATCACCTTATTGCTTTTAAATGATCAGTAAAACAAAATTTGTAAAGAAAAAATTAAATAGATTCAAAGAACCAATCGTAACCATGTCTGTTCCAGGGCAGATCATCATTAAAAATTCTTTGAGTATTATTCCTCAGTACAGGGGCCATAACAGGGGCCAGGACATGATCTACTGGGGGGCACTGGCCCCCGTTGGCCCCTGTCTAGAACTGCCCTAAAACCTGACACCTGTGGATTTTGTTAACAGATGTTTTATGAGTTATTTACGGAAGAGGATTAGGGTCATTGAAAAAAAAAAAAAAAAGTTAACTGATTTTAAAATTTTATTTCAGTTTAACATGGGTAAAAAGTCAGAATTCTGACTTTAATCTCAGAATTCTGACTTTTTTCTCAGAATTCTGACTTTAATCTCAGAATTCTGACTTTTTTCAGAATTCTGACTTTTTTCAGAATTCTGACTTTTTTCCCATACTAAACTGAAATAAAATAAAAAAAAACTTCTTTTTTTTTTCACTGGCCCTAATCCTCTTCCGTAGTTATTAGTGCAGAAACATTGCAGTAGTTTGTTTACTGAACTGGAAGGTATGCGGGTTTGATGGTACGAAGGTAAGAAATAAAAACTAAAACGTGCATTACCTACTGGCAAAAGTTAAAGAACAGAAAAGCTACAAATATTTAAAGCAGATCTTATAGTAAATAGAGTTTTGCATGTCTGGGATTAGAATAAAAACCTGATCCATATATGGAATCCATCTCCTGTTATAAAGGTCATTTCTATGTAAATTTACCAACAAACAACACAAACAGATCCTTTATAAAAGCATCAGTTCTGACACAAAGCCAGCTGTGTTTGGCTGATTTCCCCTTTCCCCTCTGGAAACCCTCGCTGACCTGCAGACTGAGCTAAATTTAGCTCATCTTTTGGCATAGTGGGATAAACACAGGCATCTGGGAGCCGTTAAAGCAGCCGGTTTGCAGGATATTTCTGCATCATCAGAAACTTTAAGGAAAAACGTTCCTCGCTGCAACTACTTTCATTTTTCCCTGTATTGGGATTGATGCTGAGTCAGTGGGAGACCGCCGCTGCTTCAGGTTACATCACAGCAGCCCCCCACCCCCAGCCTGCAGAGATGAATCATGCCTAAAACCTGTGGAATAAAATGTTAATCTAATGACTGACATCTGTAAGTCATTTCTGCTGAAAACATTGCAGGTTATTCATCACGCTGCAGAGCGTTACCTCATGGAACGAGGTTCTGCTGCTGCTGGGGAACCCTGCTGACGTTGATGTTGATGTTGGAGGTTGCCATGATAACGTCGTGGGGTTCCTCACGTACGCCTTCACAGGTAACACACAGGTATGGGGGGGGCTGAGAGGAGCTGATTTGCTGATAAGAGTGTAGAAACTCACCGCAGATCAGTCCCATCTGGGCCCCAACCACTGCTGCTTTTGGCAGCCATTTTAGTTTTAGTCTTTTAGACAAAAAGACTTGATAGTTCCTTTTTATTTAAAAATGGTTTATTCTTTCTCTGTTTACTTGTACATATTTACAAATAAATACAAACCAGTTAAAGTATTTTATCTCTACAATGTGCATATATACCCAGGTTAATGTTTTTATAATACAGGTCATCATATTAATTATAGCAAAATGTATTTATTTAAGGAAAAGTCTGCTCATATTCAGAATTCAAGCTTCTGAAAGTCCTTTAAATATGAAATGATTACATACTGTTCAATAAATGATGTCAGGTCTAAACACCTAAAACATCATACATACAGGGAAAGAAAGAAAGCACAGAGACAATTAATTTAGTTTCACTCGCAAGAGAGTAGGAAGAGACTGCGGAGTTTACAATCTCCACCGCTCTCTGCAGTCCCAGCATTCTCCTCGCTATTTATTGAAATCAGAGGTCCCTGCTTACAACAGCTGAGACTACTGTAGTGACTAGAGACAACATGAGGAATTCAGACTTGCAGTCTCAGTAAATATCCTATAAATATCAGATACAGATACACAGATACATTTATATACAATTATTCCAACAAATAATCAGTGTTTTTAATTAAGAGTAATTTTCATGTGAATGTGCTTTACTGGAGGCATCCATGTTTGTCAAAGAACACTACTGCCACCTACTGGTTAGTGACGTCACGGTGCGGTATCGGCTGTTGATCAAGTCCCAGTGCTGTATCTGGTGTTTGTCACAACGCGCTATTATCCAAGTCATCTTGAAAACATTCTTCTTCCAAATGTTGGCTACATATTCCGGTTTTTTCTCTGGCCAGAAGTTCGATGGCAAATCCTCCCTCTTCAAGTTGGCGATCCAACGACCAACCCGTCCGTGGAGGATCAGGAATCAGAAAGGTGAAATAACTCTTTTTTCCACTTTTACCCGATGTATTCCAGCATCCAGCTGCCATGCACGTGGGCATTGTCAGTTTCACTATAGCTCTGGTGAATTTCAATGGTGAAGTCCTCTGGAAATCTTCAATAATTGTTGTTGATTGCAGATGTGTCTAGTAGTTCCCATTGATTTAGCTTGGAAAGCGGGGAGAATGGCGCTAGGCTTACCGCAACGTGACGTCACTGCTGGAAGATGGCGGGAGGGAGGGGTTACTATATTTGGTCAAAAATGGCCGCTCCCAGACTCAGTGATTGCGACAAAAATTATTATTTTATTTCTTTACTGAGTAACGTTACATTTATTATGTCACAACAAATGTATTAGCTTTAGGTATAAATAATGATTAATTGGTTATTCCTTGCTGACCGGACATTTCCTTTAATCAGTGACAGAAACATGGTCTTATAGAGGGTCCTGACTTTGACTAGGAGTCTGGCTAATAAAAAAACAACAAAAAATCCTTGTATTTCTGGTAGATAAACCTACATTTAAGGCTGGAAAACGTTAACGTTCCAGTGGTCTCCACCAGCCCTCCTCTGCCATGCTTTACAGTTATCAGCTGTTTCCTCCAGCTAGCATATTTTATTATGAGCAAACATCTCTGTTTTGTTCTCATCTGCCCACAGGACATAACTTTTTCTTTTCAAAGAGAAAATATTTGTTTTCCTTTCCTACAGCAAAACTTTCTCAGTCAACTTTGAATAACCTGCTAACGGAGGCCTGCAGAGTCTGAAACGAGCTCATAAAGTTTTCATCATTTCTTTGAGCTTCATTTTTATTGATGTTGGGCTGAATCTGCAGGGAAATTTACTCCTGGGAATCTAGAAGCTGTTTGAGACATTTTCTCTCCTGGAAATATAATTTCTCTTTGATGATGGACTTCAGGAAGTTTAATAAAGGGCAGACATTCTTGCTTGTTGCTCCAACATACCTGATTCACAGGACGTTTATTCTCAGTGAATTCATTTTCAAATCTCCGGATCCTCCAATCAGTCTCTGCAACTTCGTCTTCTTCTTCTTTTCTTTGTCTTCCTCTCAGCAGAACAGTGACTTTGAATGATGTCTGTTAAACACAATCCTCTGATTTCATTTGTCGGGGCCTGACGTCGGCTCTTCGTCATTTGCTTTGTTTAAGTCGTCTGCTGTAATCAGAGCGAGTTGAAAGGTCACGCCTGTGTTTTACATCACCCACGCTGAAATGATGAGAAAGGTTTACATTCTGTTTAATTGGAGTATAAACAGCTGACCAAGATCAGTTAGGAGACCAGTATGATCATCTCCTGTAAATGGAAATTCCTTTCTTAGTCACACACCCAAGAAAAAAATCACTTTTGCAATAAAAAACAAATGTGAATCATCAGAAATGTCTCTTTTAATTATAAAATAAAATAAAGCTGTTTAGAAAGTGTTCAGGCTGCAGAAGGAAATGTTGTGTGGAACAGCAGGGGA